TCTGTCTGGTGTTTGCTGTTTCTTGCTGAAGGAACATTGGTGAAATCTGGCTCTCAACAGTTCAGTTTTGAAGCTGTGCTCGTTAAGTGTCTGGTAACCTACATAAGAAATTTTGTCTGGTTCCTGAAGATTTTTGTGGTCATACGAGTATTCTTGAAGACTGTAGGGTTGTGTAACAGTTACATAAACTGACAGTGTATAATTGCCATTTATCACTGCTGAAAACCCCAAAATCCTGAGCTGAACTGTTTCCCAGGGAGCCCTTATCACAGCCAGGACGAGACGTGGCTGTGGGAGGATCGGACGCGGCGTGTCGGGAGCTGATCTCCAGCTGAAACTCTCACCTGCTCACAAAATACCCTTTATCTCATCTTTTTAAGAGTTTTGAACTGTTGGGTGGGTGGGTGGGGATGGTCCTGAATGAGCACAATGAAGGTTTGGGGTTGGGTTTTTTTTTCTTTTAACAGTTCATCTCCTTTATTCCTGTGTTAGCTTGAGATTTAATGATTACAACTGTAATTTCTCAGGGTCTAGTTATCAGTGCAGTGCACTGCTGTTACTCACTGGCTAGGTCATCCTTTTTCCATTCTGTTTTTGACTCCTGGGAGGAGGCCTAAACAGAGGGCTGGAACAAAGAAGGGATGTGTGGCTCCTTCTGCTCCTCAGCGTCGTGCTGAAAAGCCAAACCCCAGTCACTAGCAACAGAAACAAAACGTCTGGCTCCCAAAGTTCAACAGTTCTTTTAAGCCTCTGAAAGCAACTTCTTAATGCTGTCACAGCTCCAAACAGTCACCTGTCTGGCACGGGTGCCCTGGTGCAGAGCTTCAGGAAGGTGCAGGGTTGTCTTCTAACTTCCTGGTGTTTAGATCAACTGCCTTCTTTGGAGAGCAGTGGGTGGGGATTCATTTTTTTCTTACTGGCAACTCCAGGGAGGTGTTTCTCCCTTGCAGAGCACCCTGTCTTGAAAAAAAAATTTACAACCTGAGCTAAATGGCTCTTTTAAATACCTTCTGCAGTGCCTTTAATATGTCTTAAAGATCCCCTGTTCTATTTAGCAATGTTTAACCTGTATCTCTTGCTTTTTATAGGTTAATTATGCAGTATCTGCTAGACTAAAGAATGTGTGGTCTTCTGATCCCTGCACGCCAGTTAAAGATTAATTGTGACACTCCTGCATGTAAACCTTGAAAAATTAAGCTCCACGGGTGTAGTATTTGTGCTCAGTGTGCTTTTTGGGAGGGAATTTATCTGGTGTGAATGTAGGATCCTGGTACCTGGTATCCTAAATGGCATTTCTAGCACTGGTGCTTCAAAATCAGGACTTGAGCCCTGGTAGCCTCATGCCACCAGCTTCAGAAGTAGACATGACCCCCAGAAAGGCCCCTCTTGGTTCTGTGGTCCCTAAGGTGGTGTCATTGATCCCAGTTGTGGAGGGATTCCCTGGTGTTGTGGGAATTGGTCACTTCTGAAGCCTGTGTGACAGCTACAGATGAATGGAGTTGGGCATTCCTTTGGAATGAAGTGCATTTTTTCCAGTGGACCAATTAGTCGTGGCGTTGGTAATTTTACCACTTGGCTGCCATAATTAGCTAGAGATGTAGATTAATTATTCCTTTTTTTTTCCTCTTTCTTCCTTTTTTCTCATTGAAGTTTTGAATTCTTGAAAAGATACATCCTCCAACAGAACTGAGGTAATTGTAGCAGTCTATTTTTGGAGAGCAAAATGCTAAAAACACACATGCCTGTTACAATCCTACATTTAGAAAAGGACTCTGAAGCCAAATGACAAGATTTTAATTATCTAGTCTTTTGAATAGCTCTAGAGAATTAGTTGTGACTGTAGAAGATGTCTTTTGGTGCTCCTGTATTCTGGATGGGCTGGTGTTCTACTGAAGCCATTCAGATTCTTCTTTCTGATGTCCTAAAAAGGTTTTTCCATCAAGTCCCTTCCTGCTCTGATAACTGGTAAAAATCAAAAGCTTTACAGCATCTTCAAGCCCTGTTTGGCAGAGCCAAACAATTGCCCTTTTATTTTCCTGTTCCTTCAGATGATGTTACCTTGGAAAAGATTTTAAGGAACTCAAGCTGGTGTCCTCTAGTGGGTGAGATTTTCCTGTGTAGAAATAAGTCCTGAGCAGGAACGTGGATGTGTAGGAGGCTGGGAAGTGTCATCTCTGCCTCACAAAGGGTTACCAGCACAGTTACAACATCCTAAAGGTCTGAAGGTTTATTGCAGGGCAGACCTGCTCGTGGTACCTGGCTAATCTCAGCAGATATTTGCATTCTGATTCATGTTACTACAGTTTCATGAAAAGCAACAGATTTAAAGTTTTGAATCATTCCAGACATTGGCCTTAATTCATCTGCTGCTTACACTGAAAGCAAAACTACTTGTGGGCATCTGAAAGGGATTTATTAGAGAGCAAGGTGAAGCACGATGACAGTTCATTAATTGACAGCTTTGTAATTGGCTAGACCTCATGCATTTTGTCTTTTCACAAGGGACAGGATATATCAGTGATAGGACAAGGGGTGGGTAATGGCTTCAAAGTGGAAGAGGGGAGATTCAGATTAGGAATTAGGAAGAAGTTCTTCTGCCTTTTGGTTTTTTTTTGGGAGTGAGAGGGTAAACATTTTTTAGGCTCCTGCTTCACTCAGTCCCTTTAAATGTGTTGTAGTGTGTTTCTTTTTAAAACTGTTATAAAACTGCCTTGGTAGTTGTAGGAGGTAAGAAAAAAATCTAAACCCAGGTAATTGTCTTTCTAAGGAGCCTCTGAAGTTGTCACTACTTAAACCTAAACTTTCTTATTTTACAAAGTGCTACACTGAAAATTCTTCTGTCCTCAGAAGAGGTTGTTTGTTACAGACTGAGCCTATTGTTAGACCAGTATTGTCTGCAACTTGGACAGCTCTTTCTGCATCTTGAATTCTTAATCCAGAGAGATTTGAATTTGTAGATTGAATAAAGGTCTCTACTAGACATTTTTGAAAAGGCTTTCTCAGTCTGATTTCTCTGTGTTTTAGAAGACCTTGAAAAACCCCAAACCATAATATTGTGATGAAAACTGTTGGACTTTGATCTTGAGTTTTGAGAAGTGGTGTAATCCTTTCGTTTCATACACACCAAATAAGAGGAAAAAAAAAATGATTTGAGATGGTAAATGTTCTCTAGCAGCAGCAGATCTAACCTGTGGCACTTCAGCTTTTACACTTGCTCTTTCTATGCTTTGCAAACATGTTTTTTTAGTGGTGGGTGCAGTTTATGAGGTAACGTTGTTTTGGTTTTATTACCATCAAGAGGCAACATGGTGACAGCAGCCCAGCACTTCTGCAGGGGCACTGACAGGCAGGATTTGGACAGATTCACTAATAGTTCTGCTTGTCAAAAAGTATAAGCCTGTCCATAGTCCTGATGGTACAAACAACTCTGTTAACAGCAAGGAGCCACAGACGTTTGCTTCAGAGGCCAAGCTGGTGACTGAGGCTGGAAGGAAACTTTGGAGTTGGGTTGGTCTTAAGCATCCATGCTGGGGGTTGGATTTCCTTGGATTATCCTGTCTTAGCCCTTTGGCTCACAGGTTCTTAGGCTGGATGGGTCGTTCTGACGATGAGGGTGTGCCCAAGGAACACACTTAAATTTCTTAAGCTGCTCTTATCACTGACTAGACTTGAATTTGGGGTTTATGTACACAGTGACTAAGGGCACGTTCCTTCAGCCAGCCTGGGGGTGAGTGTCTGCTCCCCTGTACTCCCCTCACAGGTACCAGCTCCTTTGTGGCAAAGTGATGTGTCTGCTTCAACTAGGAGGCTTCAGCTCAATATTTTGGCTTCCCTTGTGTTGCACTTGGACTGATTTATGTGGAATCAATGCACTTTGGGATGAGTGAGCAGACCTGTGCCTGCAGAACTCTTCACTGCAGGGCCAAAGGAGCCCTTGGGTCACAGGAACCAGCTTCCATCACAGAGATCCTGCTGGTGTGTGCTGGGTTCAAACCTGGAGAGTCAGAGGGTTGGGTACAGGTGCTAAGTGGGTGTTTTGTAATAGTGAAAAAGCAGGGATGGGATCCAAGTCCTTACACATCCAGGAACTCACTGTCTGGGGTAGGAAGCAGCTCTCTGTGCACAGGTTAAACTCTAGCTGCCTGTTAGAAAAAATCAGGCACCTTTATTTAAAGAACTAGTGTTGTCCACTGCTGGAAATTGTACCTTGGACTAGCAGGACTATCAGCTCAATCCAGTGTGACTATTCAAATAGTTTCAGCCATAAGTTTCTAAATAATTCTTAGTTTAATTCCCAAATATTTTACCTCTTTGTAATTAATTGATATTTAATTTGAATTCCTCTGTATTCAAGCTCTTGCATCCAAACAGAAAGCTGGCACAGCAAGACAGTTTATTACTACACTGGGAGCTGGCCACTTGTGAAATAAAGCAGAGAGTGTGTAGCCAAGAGCTGGCAGAAGGAAAGCTTTCAGGAAAATGTAAGGGTGAATTTCCTGGCAGATGTTTTTAACCTAAGAAGTTCTTACAGTGTCGACAGCTCAGGACCACGGTACCATGGGCTGTGTTTCTGACATCCCCAAAAGATGGAATGTTTGTCTTCAGAGGTTTTTACTATAGTCTCCCATAGGTCATCTCTGAAAGGAAGCCTGCAGACTATCTGTTTTTATTGGTTTTGGGCTCCCAGGCATGTACAAGGGCCCTATTGTCAAGCTTTCATACCAATTTTTACCAGGCAGTTCATCCCCTTAAATAATTCACCATGTTGATGAGTAGGCCTGGATGGTTCCAGTGCTCATGTTCCAGAGCAAATGAGAGCAGGGAAGGAGCTTTTTCTTCTTTTTTTTCTTTTTTTCCTCTCTTAAGCACTCAGTTTTATTTCAAACTCTTGATGCTGGAGGGGTTTTTAGATTGAAGGGAGGTGGGGATGCCCACCTAAGGGAGCTGGAGGGAGGAGGGAACACTGTTCCTCCCTGACACTTGTAAAATTTCTCTTCCAGGTGAAACAGGCAACCAACCAAATTGTGATGAACTGTGCTGATATTGACATCATTACAGCTTCCTATGCACCAGAAGGAGACGAAGGTAGGATGCTTTTTTGCTGGAGTTTTTACATCTTAATCCATCTCATTTCTGATGCGAGGTGCTGTTGCCAACAGTTAGCACCTCTGATTGTAAAATTACATCATCATTTGATAAGCTGAGCTAACCCTGGGAGCACAAAATTAACTCTATAACCTTCATTCTTTTCTCATTGCTACTGTTTGTGTTATGTTAACAAAGTTACCTCAAGCTTCTGTGGAATCTGTGTTCTACTCCTGGTGCCTGAGCCTTGTAGGCAGAAGGATGTTTGGGAGGTTTTACACTGTTATTTTTCTTTACACCAGAACACTAAGAACACAGTCTGTACCTATGGACTTCACAATCCTGGCAGAATCTGTGGCAAGGGCTTACAGAAGGAATGCCTCAATGAGAGCCCACAGTAGGATGGGCTCATGGGGAAGGATTTGACAGCATACAGAAGACACTTAATGGACTTTTTGTGTGTGGTTCTGAGTGTAGGTCACCATGGAAAGAGGTGATTGTGTGGAGGAGACAATGATTGGGATCTAGTTCAGCAGAAGCTGCTGGGAAGTGGAAGAAGCAGTACCCATTTTTTATGCACAGTTACAATTGTTGATGTCTTCCCCAATTGTATTTTGAGGAGATTTAGCAGACACAGAAACTTTTGGCAAGTGAAACATGAAATGTCTGAGGTGAGGGAAATAAGCTCCTTGAAGCAGAGTGTTATTCTGACAGTGTGCAAAGCCTTTTTGGTTTTCTCTTGGAGCATTTGCTGCTTCAAGGGCAGGAGCTGTTTGTGCTGTGTACAGCTGTTCCCCAAGTCCTTCAGAAGCCAGCAGACTCTGCAGAGCTCCCCTGTCTAGGGGCAAAATGCCCCTAGGATGTCATGAAGAGCTTTGGTGAAACCATGATTGTGAAACAGAAGAATTACCTTGATGATGGACAGGAGAAAGGTGTTCCTTCAATTAGGTTTAAACTTCTTTAGTGTGCTTGTGCAACAGCTGAAGGAAGCTGGAGAGAGTGGCTGTGTTTGTCTGAGCATTTTCTGGACTGGATTCAGTGGGACAATTTCAGTGCCCTTGCAGTGACATTACCCTATGGCTAACAGATGTGGCAATGAGTCTTTGCACTTGAATTGGTTTGACTCTTTTTGTTTTTAATATAACTTTAAAGACCCCAGAGGGCCTGGGTGCACCTGAGAGCAGCCGTGAGGTGCTTGGGCAGCCAGCGAGCTCCGTCCTGAGGAGGTAATGCTGGCAGGTACCCTGTGGGACAGGGGGGCAAAGAAGAGGACTACCCAGAGCTTGGAGCCTGGCCACCTCCCTTTGACAATGAGAGGACAGGGCACTGATCCCTGTGTGCTGGGCTCGGGGTCCAGGCTGGACCCTGGCTCTCTGTCCCCGCTGGCCTTTCAGCCGAGCGAGCTGGAGTTGACTGGGTGATAGGTGTGTTGCTAAGCACTCCCAGAGCTATTTCATATACTGAGTAATGAGGCAAGGAGGAGAGTGGTAGTAACAGCAGAGCGTGGATGGAGCCTGCTCCACCCACCACCTATTAATTTTTTATTTTGTCATTGAGGAAATAGAAAGGAATAGAAAAGGTACCTAGGGATAAAGTCTCCTTCCAGTCGAATCAGGAAAAATACCTAAAAATCAAAAGGATCTCTGTTGTAGTGTTCTCTCTGTTGTTCTCAGAGCTGATTTCCTACTTGTAGGGGATCTATTTTCCTATTTTATCAGTGATATACTCTCCTTGTAACTTCAAAGTATTAACAGTGGAGCTTAATGAACACTTAAAATCAAGTACACTGGAAGTGAGAAGAACCACGACCTTAATGGAGACTTAAAATCAAATACCCTGGAAGTAAGTTCCTGTGGCTTAAATTCCTTCATTCTGATTTTTTTCAGAGAGTTTTGAATGTGATGTTTTGGACACTGGGATATGAGCACAGCAGTGGCTCATAGTGCAGGCACTCACCCCTCCAACTTGCACTGTAAATACTCAAGGTGCAGCTTTGTTATGTATTTACTATAATAATACTCAGGCTTCATGGGGTTAAAACATATCTTTGAGTTTGGTGAGCTGCCAACTAGTGTAATGGCTTGGGAAGTAAAATTGCATGAAGTTGGCAGACAATTTGCTGGCACCTGTTGATACAGATCAAGTCAGTCTTACTAATGCTCCTATTGTGCCCAGCTTTGGGATGGGAATTGTGTAACTGGTCTCAAAACCAGAGTATGAAATCTAGTCCAAGAAACCAACTGAAATATCAGCCAGATCGTTTGGGTTTAGTGACTCAGGTGAGCCTGGTCCCAGTTGCCTGTGCAGGATGTTTGAGAGCAAGTGAGAAATAAGTGATGTTTCTCCTTTAAAGGCTCCAGTGATGAATTGTTACCTCTTTTAGTCCTGTGTCTCAGTGGGGAAGAATTTATCTCGCTCCTGTCTGTAAATGTGAGACACGAGATAATCGGTCACTTATCTTCTTTCAAGTGTGGTTCTGTTCTGAGAAGCAGCTCTGTAGAAAAAGAACCTTTCTTGTTCAACAGAAACCTCTCCTCTCTGTGTGCAGGTGATCTGTTGACTTTTGGGCAGAATATTTTATCATTTTCCTAATAATTCTTGTTAGCTTTGAGTCCCTGCTGCACTTGTACAAGAAGAGAAATCTCAGCTAGAGCTGTGGGCTGTGTTTTCACTCCCATTTGCTCTTCTAAAGATGAATACAGCAAAGGGTAGGACTTGGTCTTTGGAATTTTAATGCAGATTTGCAGGGAAATCAGATTATTGCCCAATATTTGACAGGAGGCTGAGGGAGGATCTCTGAAGCTTTAAAGTCAGAGTGAAAAATTCTGCTGCGTAATCCCCGATTGAGTGCTGGTGAATAATAAACCAGGAGAGGCTGATTGCGCAGTCCTGGGGAGCAGAAAAATTCTCTTGTTTCATCATAAAAGTTCCGTGGTGGTTGGGACAGGAGGTTGTGGATTTGCTCTTTGTGCCAGGTACCCTGTAATGGAACAAAGCTGCTCAAAACCTGAGTTTTCCGTTGCTGAAGTGGCTCCTCCCACTAATCGAAAGGAACAATTGGTTGTGTTTTTTTTTTCCAGGAGCTGTTTTTTGTAGTCAAATGTTTACAGTGCAGCCTCAGTGTTTAGGGGGCTGTACTGTCTGTGTCCAAAAGGTTGGCTTGGCTCAGCTAAACAAAGAAAACAGTATTCCCAGGCAAGCTGGTTCTTAAGTTAAATTTTAGGGGATTGAGTTTCATATTTACAGCACGTGAAGTAGTTTGAGCTTCCTGTGAATCTCTCTTTTAAGGAGCTGTGAAATTGTGCTGGAGTCATCATCAGTGGATTGCATTGTCTTTAGCTCCAAAAGCTTTTCAGATGCTGGGGGATCTAAAGCAGTTTCTTGAATTTAGAGGTGCTTAGAGGGTAGTCGTTGGCAATTTCACGTAGAAAATTAGAAGCAGCCCCAGTGGTGTTTGTTTAGCAGAAATAATCAAGTGAACTTTGGTTTGTAGGTCAACCTTTAAAAAGTTTTAAAGTCAGAACTCATTACTTGAGTCTTTCACAGAATCACAGAACCATTCAGGTTGGGAAAGACCTCTGAGATCATCAAGTCCAACCATCAACCCAACTCTACCATGAGCACTAAACCATGTCATGAAGTGCCATGTCCAGATGTTTTCTGAACCCCTCCAGGGCTGGTGACTCCACAGCCTCCTGGTCCAATGCCTCACTACTCTTTCAGGAGAGAAATTCTTCCTAATGTCCAATCTAAGTCTTTCCTAGGATGGTAGGGACATGCTTGGATGCTGGTTACACTGGAGCCTTAGCTGAAGATCACTGGTGCTTGTGGAAAGGTCAGCAGTGTGACTTGGGGTGTCCAAGCAGTGCTGTCCTGTGGCCCAGGAGCACACATTCCATGATGATGGCAAGGTAGCCTGGAATCTCAGTCCCCACTGAGAGAGCCAGTGACTCTTCTCTCTCCCTTTTTCTGCTCATGCATTTGAGCAGCTGTGTGGATCAGGAAACTCCTCAGGCTGAAAACTGCCTCTCTAAGGGGGCTTGGAGACAGATCTTCCTAATCCTGGTGATTGCATGTGAGTGCCAGCAGGAGGAAGGGAATGGCAACAAGCAGCTGGGACAAGGTGGGCAAAAAAATCTGCCTCTGCCCTTAACAGACTGGATTTGTTTAAGCCACTTGTGAAACAGTTCTTTGTTGGAGCAAAGCTCATCTTCATTCTTCCTCCTCCTTGGTAGGATAGGATTTGAAGGGTAGGTTTTTTTAAGGAAGCCTGGGCTGTGTTGGCACAGACAGTTTGGGAATATCTGATGTGTGGGAATACTTCCAGCTCCTTTAAAGGATTTTACAGCCAGTGGTGTGAAGCTCACGAGGAGATGTGAAAGGGCTCACAAGTGTTTGTGTTCTCAGGAGTTAGGTCAGGGTGTGTGCAGGGTCCACACGTGGCTGCTCTAAACTAAGAGCTTTCATTTGCAGATGGAGAGGCAGAGTGCACACAGCCACTGCTGCTCAGTTGATGACTACAAGTTCATTAAGCCACCATACCTTAATTGCCTGACACTTCTCCAGGCCGTGGAGCAAGGGCTACTGGAAAAAAATCCCATCTCTTGTCCTTGGCTTTGTCTTTGCTTTGAAACACACATACATTTGACATGGCCTAAAACCTCTGGCTGGGATCCACCTTTGTAAGTGCCTAATACAGAAATTTGGGAGGTTAATCTGTGTATCCACCTGGTTACTGTGCAATTTCAGGAAGCCCTTTGAGGAAGGACTGTGTTTTCTTTTAAAATACTATTGTAGAATTTCACACATGGTGCTTGGAATTTGGGAGGGTGGCTAGATCTGATTTTTTTTATGCTTTTTTTTCTTCTCCACAGTCATGGAGCACCAACAGCTTTTCATTTTCTCATGAGACTTGGTCCAGGCTGTGTACTAATGTGCTAGTGATTAACTTGCAACCTGGCAGTGCCAAACTCTCCAAAGTTAGTAGGCTGCCAAAATTGTGTTGTTCTCTTCAGGAGCTTTTGTGTTCAGCCCAGTTCGGAATTCAGACAGCCTTTTACTGCAATTACATCTTTGTTATAAGCAGTTCTCTTAAATTCCAACAGAAAGTATTGTTGATGGTTTTCCACGATTCTTTTGCTCTGGATTAAATTGCCACTGAGTAGTTAGTTTTAAAAGAAATGTAACTTTGAATCTTTCATTTGTGTTCTGCTGTTTCAGAAATTGATATATCAGCAGCTGCTTTGGAGAGCTCACAAAAAATTGGTGGGGTTGAGCATGGGAAGAAACTTTTCTAGACACCAGCTCCTCAGTGAGCTGGAGAAACTCCTCAGTGGTCTTGTGAAGCTGTAGAGGAGCATGGCATGCTGCTCGAGGTGTGCTCTTGTGGTTTTCTTGTTCATCCCAGGCTGGCTGTCACAGAAGTGGGACAGCCACACAATCCTAGAATGCTTTGGGTTGGAAAGGACCTTTAAAGGTCTGCCCAGTCCCAGGGTATCACAAGACTCTGGGTGATTGGGATCAGTTTGTGCTGGGGGGTGCACAGCATCGCTCCTGAGATGGCTGCTGCCAGCCTACTTAAACTAGAACTTGTTTAAACAGTGTTTTTAACCTTAGGGTAATTGGGTTTAAGGCTGTGAAATGAAGGTTGAGGAGCTCTTTGAAACAAGGTTGGTTTCCCAGTGTGGTGATTTGCTTTCACAGGTTGTTACAGGGGAAAACAACCTGAAGGTCTTCACCTTTTTCTAGCACCCCTACCATTTACCTGTGTCTTTCCTGGTGCACGTTAGAAAGGTTATAAAGTAGCAGAGCTACAAATTCAAATACACTTAAGAGGGCTTCATGTTTCTGAGAGGAGGAGGGGGAAACTTGATATTCATTGTCAACTTTTGGCAGAAGCTCTGCATAACACACATTCTTCTCTATTTCTCAGTTTCAGTAGGTTAGAACTATGATCCTAAAGTCATGGTATTGTTTGTCTTCAGTATCAGATTGTTTCCATTAGAAGTTGTAAAAAGATAAAGATGTTTTGGGTTTGCTGTGGTCATTTTAAGGTGCACGGGGGGGATGTTTCTGCGTTCTTGTTCCGATCTTTATCGGGCATTTCTCAGGTTTTGGTTTAGCCTCTGACCACAGGCTGCCAGCTCAGCACCTGCAGGTTGTCCAGCAGCAGGCAGGCTCATTCCAACAGGTCCTCAGCCTGTCCTTCCCTCTGCCTGAGGTCACCAACGTGCCATCACAGAACAGCTTTTGTGTCTCTTGGACTCTGAAGATAGCCGGGGTCAAAATTCATTTGGTCTGAACGCTGGAGTCAGCAATCAGCTCCACTCTGCAGGGCTGGGAAGCCCACGTTCAGACTAGCATGTTGTACACCAGAGTCATTCCCTGACTGTCTTCTCTCCAGTTCTCTTTTAATGTCTCCTTTCCTCCCTCAGTATTCCCCAGAACTGGAAGAAGAAAAGCTAAAGCTGAACTTTTCCTTTTTGCTGCTCGTTGCCCAATGCTTGCTGGCATTTTGATGTCTTTGGCATGTTTCCCCTTTAAATGATCTAACTCATCCTCACACAGTTGACTTCAAAATCTTGGATCTCTACACTACAGACTAGTAAAGTTCTTCTGGATCCTGTAAGGGATTTTTTTTCTCAGATTTGTTTCTGCACAGCATACTTTTTACAGCCAGAACTGTTTTATTGCAGGCATGTCTGTGTTGTGTGCCCTGGCGTGGTGGGTAACTCTGATTAAACACTGAGCAGAGCCCTGTGAAACCAGTAGTTAAGACTAATGCACTCGTGCAGTTTCTGCACTTATGTTCTCTGTGAGCAGAGGTGGGTATTGAGTCAGACTTCAGGCTGAAATTGTAACTACTCCAGAATAAATAACACTTTAAATTTGATAAAAATCAGAACACATTTCCATTTACCTTTGTCACCTATGGAGGAGCTTAGCTGAGCATCTCCCAGGTCCATTGAAGTACATTTTTCTTTGAGGGTATCTTTTCTAGGTATTCTTTTTGTCCTTTTTTTTTTTCTGGGACCACACTAGTGTCTACTTCAGTAGATAACTGAAGCTATTGACTGAATCTTTCCTCCTAAGTCGCTTTTGAAAGTACCTGCAAAGTACTTTCAGTGTCCTGGGTGTGTTTTCACCTCAGTTGGTGTAAGCAGGATGGGACAGGTGGGTTGTATGAGGAGTGCTGTCACTTTGCACTGGTCTCTCTTTCCCATGTCTTTCAAAACTATGCTGAGCTGCCAAAGGTTTTTTTGATTTATAAACCTAGAATTATGCCTGAGTATGTCTGCACAGAGAGATGGTTGTGCCCAGGCTTACCAAGCTCAGGGTGCTGATGTGTGGTAGGAAGCATTGCCCACTTTTTTGGGTGCAGATTTGCATTTCTTAAAGCTAGCTGGTTCTTGTGGTGCCACAGAACAGTGTGACATGGGTAGCAGAACTTGCCAAGTGAGGTCCTACACAGCTACTGTAGATACTTTTTTGGTTTAAGGAGCATAGATTTACATCCCCTTGGATGGACTTGATGAATTGGGAAGGAAGAAGCAGCACTGGGTGTTCTCCCTTGGCTCTGCTAACTCTAAGCTGCCAGACAATTTAATTCTTGTGCACTAGCTCCCTTCTATCCAGCTTAGCCTTGTAGTTCAGATGTTTGCATCTACAAATAGATCCAGTGCTGTGTAAATACCATCCTGCTCAATATTTGGGTTGGGTTTGGAAGCTAAATGGTAACATAAACTCCAGGGTAGGTCTCTGATTCTGAAGACAATTTTAAAATTAACATTGTGTTATGCTTTGTGGTTCAAACCAAATGGCCTTGCTGTGGGTATTAGTGTGCTTCTCAACAGTACAACTTCATTACCCAGCAGGGCAGAAGGATTCTAGCATAGACTCCTTGGTCTGAAGCAAGATTATACAACCTGCAACTCTGACCACAGATCACATTTCTTTGGTTACTCACATTTATACTCTTCTGGGTTATTCAAAATCTTCTCCACTGGCTTGTTCAGTGACTGTGTGTTGTTGGCTTCAGCCAGTTTGGTGGGTTTTGTAACTCTTGAACATATAAAATTATCTCTAGGGCTTATTTTGAACCAAGCAGTCTGTTTTTCTGTTTCAGAGGTACATGCCACAGGCTTCAACTATCAAAATGAAGATGAAAAGGTTACTCTCTCCTTTCCCAGTACTCTTCAGAAAGGTAAGAGCTATTTTCATGCTTTCTGCTTGCTTCAACTGATGTGTTTTAAGGTGTTTGCACTTGACAAAGCTGGAGCAGGACAGCTCTGTTTTCCCTGAAGCTTCTGGCTGTGAATGTGATGCTCCCTGGGGAGTCTGTCCACTGCAAGTCACTTGGGGAGCCTCTGGAATTGCAGATGTTTCACTGATGGTGATGTTTGCTTCCAGCACCTGAGCTGACTCTCATTATTTACCTGCTTCTGGGAGCTGGACTCAGAAGCTGTTGGTGTTACCTACTGATGATCTGTTTTCCTCTTAGTGAGAATGAGCTAACCTGAATTACTGCAGTAGTTCCCTAGGTGTGGATGTAGGAATTCTTTTGGAACTGCCACAGGTTTTTTTTTCACTGTGGAGTTTGTTGATTGGAAACCCAGCTCCTCGGTTTGAATCAAGAGGTTTTATTTCATCTTGACAAATACAAATGTGGAGATTCTGGGGGTGATAAAACTTGAGTGTTTCATTCTGTGGGATATTGGCATGCTGCTCTCTGATCAAGATCAGCTTTCCCCTTCTGCACTGACTTCAAGGGCAGAATAAATCCTGAGACTAATTGACTTAGAGGCTCGATCGCAGCCAGAGCTCCATCTTGGCTTTTGTAGTGGATTTCATAGGATGCTTTTATTACTTAGTAGCCATCCAATATAACTGCAAACCTTACTGAAGGCAAGGATTGGAGGATCAGGCTTCACAGATGGCCTGGGGGGGGTCTCTCAGGGCTAATGCCTCGTGTTTAGAAGGTGAGGATGCAGCAGCCTCCGATCAGTGCTAAAACGCTGTGGTGAGGCTGGTGTTGGCTGCATCCCTCTGCTGGAGCTTGTTCTGTGTAAGGAGGGTGAAGGGTTTGAGAGGCTGGCAAAAAAGCAATGGGTGGAGATGAGCTGAAGGGACATCTTATTCCAGAAGGGCAGTGGGCCAGCTGAGGAGCTTGGCCTGAAGGTCCAGACCGAATGAACGTTCTGTTTGGCACATGCAAATAACAATGGCCCATCTGTTTCTGTTACAGGGACAGGGACACTAAAGATAGACTTTGTAGGGGAGCTGAATGATAAAATGAAAGGGTTCTACAGGAGTAAATACACCACCCCTACTGGAGACACCCGCTACGCCGCCGTCACCCAGTTCGAGGTACCACCTATGGGTTTGTTTGCAGGGGATGTCATTAGGATTTATGCTTAGAAACAGCAAAGACCTGACTTTTAGCTGCACCCTCTGGGTAAATCTCAAAGCCCCATGCTTTTTTTTTTTTTGCTTCGTGCGGATGGGTAGTACTAAAAACAGCCTTTACATTGTGACTTCAAGGTCAGCAATTTCTGGATCTGGCAAATTCCCCAGCCAAGGATCGTGCTGATGTGTGATGCGTGGTGGATATATACAATAGCTGCAATGTTTGAGAGCAGTTCTTGATTTAGATGTGGGCTAATACCTCTGTATAACTTTTCTTCATGAGCTATATGAATTTTTTTTTAATAGGGCACTCTGCCTTTATGGCAGTGTCTTAATGTCATTGAAAATGTGAGCGGGATCCTGTCTGGAGGGTTATGTAAACCCTGGACACAACGACAGAATTTGACACCATATTGCAATTTCATAGTTATCTGCCCAATTATATAAAACCACAGAGTCCATACCTAGTACAGAGAGAACATTTCTTGGGTGCAGGCTGCTGTTGGAATATAAATAGGTGGTCCTGTGTGCACGCTCTCTGAACGCCTGGGTGCCCTCTCTGCTTTCACATGACTGAGCTTTGCTCCTGTCATGACTCTGCTAAATTTTGCTCAGACTGTAGAATTCCATCAGAGCACAGAGAGCTTTTTGGCTGCTTTTTTTTTTTTTTAAACCATGAGTGAAATAAGAATAAAATGCTCTAATGCAGAGGTTCTGAGTGTCAGTGAAGACTCGACAGCAGTGAGTAGCCATCACTCAGCCAACTTCTCACCTGTAAAACATGCTGAATTTTTGTGCGTGCACTGCCACAATCTCTTGTGATTTCTTTGTTTAATGCTCTTGTTTCCTTCAGGCTACTGATGCTCGCAGAGCTTTCCCTTGCTGGGATGAGCCTGCTATTAAGGCAACTTTTGATATTTCTTTGGTGGTTCCTAAAGACCGAGTAGCTTTGTCAAATATGGTAAGTTAAATAAAGCTGTCATAACACCAGCTGATTACTTGATAGTTAATAGTGTGTCTTGGTAACAGAATTAGGAATATAGGCTGTCTTGTTAGCTATCACTAAGCAGCAATAAATTGAGAGAGCTTTTCAAAAGACAAAATTGGGATGTCAGATGCTAGCACAAAACCTGAACGGGTTGGACAAACCACTGTGGTGCTGGTCTAGGGGGGGAAAAAAATGGTCTTAGCCTATGTCAAGCCACGTGCTGCTTGATTAATAGTGACTGGAAAAAAAATAAGCCCTTGTGTGTTTAGCTGTTATAGCTACATAAGCACTTGAGATAAGTAAGAGTGTTTTCTGTTCTAGAGAATTTCTCAGCAGAACTGGGGTAAGATGTGTAAGTAGGAGCACCTCTGTCACAAAGACGAGTGGGCATTTTTGGGTTGTTACTTTAACTGTGGTCCATGTATTTCTATATTATGTTGATGGAGAAGAGCAAAACAGATGCTTAAAAATTCCAGTTACCTGTACAGTCTGGCCTTGCCCACTGGCCCTGTGGCTGCAGTTTCTGTGTCAGAATTGCCAGTGAAACCCTGCTGCCTTATTGGGATGTGGGCGATCCTCTCTTTGAAGGCCAGCAGCTGATAGCTGGTGCATTCAGCTACCTTTGCAGCAGTGGATTGTCACTTCTCCATTTTCCAAGTCCATCCCCACACGTGCTGGGGGGGGTTTTTACTCGAGAGAAACCAGGTTTTAAAACTGTAAAAGAAATCCTTTCGTTTTAAGTGCATGACTCAGGCTGAGGGAACAGTTACTCAAACGTTGCGTAATCCAGTTTCGTTTCCCCCAAACTCACCCATTCCCTTTCCTCTTGGAAGAATGTGGTGGACAGGAAGCCCTACCCAGATGATGAAAACCTGGTGGAGGTGAAGTTTGCTCGTACCCCCATCATGTCGACGTACCTCGTGGCTTTTGTGGTGGGGGAATATGACTTCGTGGAGGCCAGGTCCCTCGACGGCGTCTTAGTGCGTGTTTACACTCCCGTGGGCAAAGCAGAACAAGGAAAGTTTGCTTTAGAGGTAAATGTGCTCAGGGAGGTGTCACGACCTCCACTGTGCTCTCTTCAGTCACCTGAATCCCTGCAAAGCTGTTTTGTTTGGTTTAGTGGCTCTTAGAGGCTGGGCTTGAGATGAAACAGGATTTCAGTCGTGGACGAGCTGATGTCTCTAATGACAAAACCATAAGGCTTAATTCAGCCCTGATTTGGTGATGCAGACTTGATGAGAAGTGCTGAAGGGCAGGCTACAGCCTGGGAGAAAAAGGGGATGGGAGGTTTCCAAACCATTGTGCTCTGGAAGCTTGGAATGGAGCTTCTGGAAGAAATCTTGGGTGCGCTGCTTTCTTAGACTAGTTTTCATCATAGATTTCTGAGTCTTACTCGTTGTTGCAAGTTAACTTTTCTCCTCTTGTTTCTTACAGGTTGCTGCTAAAACTCTGCCTTTTTATAAGGACTACTTCAATGTTCCTTACCCTCTTCCTAAAATTGATCTCATAGCTATTGCAGACTTTGCTGCTGGTAAAGTAACTCGCTTTATTGATGAACTGTATTTTATTTGAATTTTAAACATTTAGGAAGAGGTGTGTATCAATATCAATAAACCTTTGTATTTATTTTATAAAGGTGCCATGGAGAACTGGGGCCTTGTTACTTATAGGTATGCTGTTAAAATACTGTCTTTCCCCCTCTTTGTTCACTAATTCTTGGAAGTAATTGGATAAGTTTTAGGGAGCTGTAATTACTGGGTCTCATCCCAAATAAGGCTGAGTAAATACCTTCAACTCTTGCTTCAGTTTGGATAATTTTGACTTCTGCAGCAGCGTGCATTATTGTACAAATCCTAGGAAGGCAAGAATGAGCTGTTACAGCTTCTGTCCAAGGGTGGGAGATTTTTTTCAGTGTCTGGCAGCACTGCCTGTTCTCCAAGAGAACTTTCTTGGCCCCTTTTTTCCCCGTAAAAGTGACGTACTTACTGACACAGCTGGAAGAGTTTCTTATTTTATGTTGTAGGCAAGTTGGTAAATTTAGCAACCACAGTATAACCATGTGGAGATGAGTAAATCAGAACTATTAACTTGCCTTCTTTTTCAGTTTTTGGGTTTTTTTTTCTTCATCTGATCAAGCTTTTGTACTTTTGCTTGATATTATCACATCATCTGCGCTCGTCGTCAGAATGATTTTCCTTCATTTTGTACAACATTGGTCTTGTGGGCTTTGGACTTTAAATCCTGCAACAGTTTGGATTTCTTCTGCTAAACTTTTTAATTCGGCCTTAAAAAAATGGAAGTGGAAATTTAAGCCCAGGTTTAAAATCGACTCCTCTGCAATCCTGATGAAATCTGATATTTTACTCCCTGTGGGAGGGGAAAAAAAAGGAAAACTATTTGTCCTGGATGAGTAGAATTTTTGGAAGCACTTATTAATGGTGCTGTTCATTCCCCCCAGTGATGCCCAGTCTGGCACGTTCACTTTATCCCCGTGGGGACAGAAGGGTGGCCCCACGTGCAGGCACCAGCTCTGTTTTGAGATGCACGTGTTCCCCTGTGAGTCTCAGCAGCCCCTTCTGCCTGACCCACCACCAAGTCCTGCTCACGAGAGGGGTGTGGACAGGGGCAGGTTGTGTGCCTGAGCTTGGGGGCACGTGGGGTGAGGGTGTGTGTGTGTGTGCCTGGTGTGGAGCCTCTTGTGCATCTGCAGTGACGAGTGTTGGGTGGCTGGTTGAGCACTTGGAGGAGCTGGAATCCCTTCAGGGATGAGGGAGGCAGAGAAGGCTGGCTGTGCATAGGTCCTGCAGTGCAAAGGGAGGTGCAGTTGAGGTTCCTAGACTATGTAGGTGAGGTATTTTATAAATAAAAGATAAGCTTTCTCATTCCTGCCTGGGTTTTTTGCACTTACCTTCTTGCATGCCATAAGGAATTATTGCTCCAAAGCCTTCCAACAGCTGTGGAACTGACCAAAATAATTGAGTGTCTGAACTGAAATAGCTTTTGGGTTTTTTTTTCAGTTGTACCAATCACTTTTTAGCTTGCTTAGTTAATTTAACCTACTTTTGATTGTGTATTTTCCCTAGGCCAATAGCACTCTTCAGTTCTCTTTCTCTCTTAAATACAGGGAGACTGCATTGCTCATTGACCCCAAAAATTCCTGTTCTTCATCTCGCCAGTGGGTTGCTCTGGTTGTAGGACATGAACTTGCTCATCAGTGGTTTGGAAACCTTGTGACCATGGTATCTGACAGTTACAAGTTCTACTAGTTTTCTTTGACCTGTGCTTCGTATCATGTGTGTGTTCAAGTGCTCCTTAACAGCAGACATGCTATCTTTAAGATAAAATATTTAAATGTTTAAGTAGTGTTTTATTACCACTTTCTTCTCAACTAGTGTGTTCTTCAGAAGTATTCCTAGATCTTGTCTGTGCAACGTGATGTTTGGTTGTTTGCATGTAGTCCTAGTTAGAGCTGAGCAGGTGTTCCATGGAATGATTTTGGCTGGTGAGGTTACCTAGAAGCAATAATCTGCTCTTTGCCTTTCAGGTAGGCATGATTCACTCATCAGGCTTTCAGACCAAGCAGGCATTCCAGCTCAGTGCTGCAAATTACCCTAGTCCAGTAGCTGAAAAGTTGCTCAGTAGTAACTTTTATGAATTACTTTGGCTATATGGGGAGCCAGCTGTCTGAATGGATTGATAGTGAAGTTATTTTGGTGGGAGTAAAAGCATATGTGAAGCAGCAGAGCTGAAGTCTCTAAATAAATTCCAGTGTGTGCTAAAAACTGAAACCTACATCTGTCAGAGCTTCTGCTGTTAGCCAATGGCTTCAGCTTTCTGTTAGAGCCCATGTTGCTTTTCCCAAAATCTCCAAACAGGTACTTGAATCCAAATGTTTAACAGGTTAGGGACTTTCTTGTATTGTGAGAAACTAGTGTGCTTAGTGGAAAAAAAAAAAAGCATGGCTTCTGGAGCCCCAGATCTGCATTCTTCTGGCTTTTTAGCTGCTTAATTTAAGTGTGAGTGGGTGGAGGAAAGAGCCCAGAGTAAACACTAGTTGTAACACTAAGCAGAGTTTGTGAAACTTCCCTACAGTGCTGTGCCTCTTAAAAACCTGGTCAGCTGTGACCATTCCAGTGTATGGCAGCACAAGTAGCTTCCATGTGAGAGCAACACAAGATTTAAATGGAAAAGTAATATCAAGGTAATATTTTTAGCTTTTAATGCTGTTGAGCAGCTGGAAGCAAGGTGAGGCAGCATCATGTGAGTAGACAGGACTGCAGGATGCCAGCAAGTGCTGTGGGGAGCATGAGGGACCAGTGAACCATTTGTGGTCCTCCTGACCATTGAGAACTGTGGCAGTGAGCTTGAGAAATTATCCCTTACAAGAATATCTAACATTGATGTTGAATTAACTTTTTAATTTTGAAGTTCTAGGCCTTCCAAAAACGTTGAGGGTTTTTTTTTCTCTGTGGTGGTTATTTGATGTTCTGGGATGCAACTGAAATAGGAAAAGCTTTCCAGGGTTACTTCTCAATTTCCAGCAAGTCCTTTTTCTCCTCTGTAACCTGAGGGGCACAAGCACAGCAGAAGGCCTCAGTAACATCACCAGTTTTGTTTGCCAGTGCCAGATCTCCCTGGCCAGCAGGACACACCAGCTCTTCTGCAGCAAAGATAGATGAAATACGAAAACTTCCAGGGGAAGAAATAGATTTAGTGACAAATTTAGTTGCCAGAGGGTTAAGGGAGAAAACCAGGGAGGTGAAAACATTTAGAAGCCCAACCTAATTGCCCAAGAATCTACTTTGCAGTTGCATTAATCCTTTGGCACTGATGGATTGGAACCTTGTAGTGGGTAGCAGGAGCAATTTGAGGCCCAGCTTACTGAGCTGGTTCAGTGTCCTGTTCAGTTCCTTCTTCAGGGCCAGTGTCCCCATGGCCCCATAGCTGAGCCAGGCACCCCAGCTCCATTCAGAGAAGGGTTGGTGAGTGCAGTTGTGCAGAGGGTGTTTTATTCCTCTAGCTTGTTTCCTTCCCTCTCTTACTTGGGTGAAATATTAGAAGTGAAAGGAAGAATTTAAAAATGTCAATGTAATGTTCTTGTCTTAAAAAAAAAAAGAAAAAAACAAAGGCCACCCCTTTGGCTGGTGAGAAACAACTTGTAGGTGTTTACTGGATTTAAGGTTCCCTGACCTAGGTAAGGGGAGTTTTCCTCAGTGGCTCTGCTCTGACCTCTAGTCCAGTCTCCAGGAATTCCAAATGTACCTAGTGCAGTTCTCCTCCATGCAGTTTCTAAATCTTAAGACAAAGAGAAGACAGTTATTAGGTGCTGATTACTCTTCTGGGCCAGAGGACTTCTTTAGAGAGAGGAATTTGTGCTTAGAAGTGTTCTGTGTTTCTCTGACTCGGACTAAACCAGGCCATTAACAGCTTATCCTGGCTGCAAACTTACTGTTGATTAAATGAAGCTGTTGGAATTTTGTTCTTTATTCTGCCTCCTTGTCTTCCCAGGAATGGTGGACCCATCTCTGGCTGAATGAAGGATTTGCCTCCTGGATTGAGTACCTGTGTGTGGATCACTGCTTCCCAGAGTACGATATCTGGACTCAGTTTGTGTCTGCTGATTACACACGAGCTCAAGAGCTTGATGCCTTAGACAACAGTCATCCCATTGAAGTAAGTTCTCTCTCTGCTATTGCTGGTCTCCCTTTTTCTTGTCAGCTGTGGGCTGGCTTTTTTCCTGTTCAGAAGAAAAGGGAACTTTGCAGTCATTCGTGATGAAAAATCTAAGGTTGCGTTTACACTTTGTGGATTTTCCTCTAATTAGTATTTCAGAAGTATTTGAGGGTCTGATGATGGCTCCTTCTGGAGTTTTTCTGCTCTACTGACTGGAAAGGGCAAAGCTGTAATCAAAACTCATCATTATTTGTGTTTTGGTTTGGGTTTTGATCACAGTGGGTAGTTTTCTGGCCCTTGAGCACAGTGAGGTAGCTACTGACTTACCCAGTGCTCAACAGCAACAGCTCAAGTGCAGCACAGCCCAGAGCCCAGGCTGTCAAACTGTGCTGGGCTTGTACTGGTTTCCTTCTGAGCACACTCTAGTGGTTGTACTCCTAGAAATAAGTGGGATCTCTCTGGGCTTGCTGCTTTGGCAACAAGGCAGTAGTTCAACAATGAAGAGGAGGCAGCAGGAACAAGCTCAGCTACAGCAAAACCAGGAGCTGTGCTAAAAGAAAACTCCCTTTTGATTCCCAGAGATCACCATGGACAAGTTTTCTGATGGCTTAAGGAATGTTTGATGTAATAGATGTTGGTTCAGCAGGTCATGTCAGAGTCACTTACTCACCAAGTGTGCTTCCTGAGTGTGCATTGTTCAGTGTCCCAGAGTTAAAACAACTTCCACTGGTTTTTGTGTTTTACTTTTGGGCAAGTGTTGAACCAAAGGATTGAAGCAAGATCCTCAAGTCTGTTTGGTTAAATACCAACCCTCACTTAAACTGTATTTAACCTATAAACCAATCCTAACCCAGCCCTGTGTTTAATGGTGCAGAGATTAGAGACAATTTACTGATAGATATGATCTGCACTGAGAAAAGTCAGCTCCTTAAACACTAGAAAAAGCCAAATTAAAATCTTACAGCAGTTAAAATAGTTCTCACTGTTCATCTTCCTCTTTACCACAGGTTAGTGTTGGCCATCCCTCTGAAGTAGATGAAATATTTGATGCTATTTCTTACAGCAAGGGAGCATCTGTAATCCGAATGCTACATGACTACATTGGTGATGAGGTAAAAAAGTTGTTGTTAAAAAGCCAAACGTAGATTGTCAAGTCTTTTTACAGGTAAAAATATTGTTTTCTTAAAAAAAACCCAAAAAATTAAGTCTGTGTTCTATAATTTGAATTTTTTTTCTCCATTTTTTGGGCTGTGTTTGAGCTCAACTCGGAGAAATAAGATAATGGGAAGATATGGCTGGAGTGAGAGGTGCACACATGGATCTCTGGCCAATTCTTGAGCATAAATGCAGCGTGGAGGGAGGACAGAACAGGCCTCTGCTCTGCTGCCTTTACATATCCCATTGTGTGTTCCCAGGACTTCAGGAAAGGAATGAATTTATATTTAACGAAGTTCCAGCAGAAGAATGCTGCTACAGGTAATTGCTGGTTGCTCTGTGCTTTCAAGGAAAGGGATTCCTGGAGACAAACTCTTCAGGGCTAAAGTGATGGATTCCTAAAGAGCTGGTTTTCCACCTGAGCTAACTGAAATGCAAGGAAATAATGGGCTTGTTTCTAGCTTCATACAAAGCATCCCCTGCCCAGCCAGAATTGAGCATCCTCTGGGGGTTCTCTGCCTGGAGAGTGTGTGGCTGAGGGAATCTGGAAGGGCTGCAGCTCCTGCTGATAGCCACATCTGCCTAGGGATTGAATTTAGAAATAGAGTGTGTTGATTTGCCAAGTAAGCCTTTTGCAAGCTTCCTTCTGCAGTATTGATTGAGGGTGTGATTAAACCCTTCAAAGCCCTGCCTAACATCTCTCAGTGCTTTCTTTACCTCACCCCTTTCTGTGTATCAGGCATAAATGTGGAAGGGAACATCATGCTCTATCAGCCAGAAACAGTCAGTGTTTGGTCAGCTCTTTTGGAATAATAGATGAAAAGCTTAAGGAAAAGATTCTCCTATTTACATCTTGAATATAAGTGCTCATTTTTATTACACTTTATCACAATGTGTATTGATTGGATTTTTTTAGTAGTAAAGAAGCTTTCTTCTCCCCTCTGTGCCCCATGAGTAGCTGAAACTATCTCCTTTTTCTTGCTTGTCTGTTACAATCCCATACAAACACAACCCAAAGGGGCAAACTGGAGTAACAATACAAGAGCCTCCCACCCTCCAGTGCCCGTGTAGCACCCTGCGTAGTGTCTGACATGCCAGGGCTCTGGGAGTCCTTACTCAGCCTTTCCTTCTGCAGAGGATCTCTGGGACAGCCTGGAAAAAGCCAGTGGGAAACCTATAGCTGCTGTGATGAACACATGGACCAAACAAATGGGATTTCCACTCATTTACGTGGAAGCAGAACAGGTAAATGTGTGTTTTTCAGCACATCAGATCAAAAATTCCTGCCTTTAAGTGTGTTTTAGGATCAGATTTAGTAGCATCTAATTATTTCAACCCCTCTTTTTGATCAGGAGGCAGCACAGGGGTTGCTTTGTTGTGTGGCCAGTGTGTTTCTGGAGGGAGGGGAAGTGCAGCCTGCTGGAGTTGTGGAGTTATTCCACGAGCGCTCTGGATCATGTGCTCAGAGTTTGCTGACAGGGCCCATTTGCTCTTTGTGTGTGAAATGTGTGTTGGGGGAGGGAATATCTGACTGCTCCCCTCGCCACACGCTTCGCCTCTCGCCTCACTTCCATTGTGCTTATTCTACAAGATTGCAGGGTGAGTGAGGATTACTGGCTGCAAGCTGCAGTCAGACAAATTTCCAATGAGAAATGGGACATGTGTGTGTCAACAGTAACAGCCAGGAATGCATCAGAATGATTCTTGAGGTAGCTCCTTTTTCTGGAGGGGAATACAAGTTACTCCATCTAACAGAGAATGTGGATGTATTGTGATGGACAGAAGCTGAGACTGGATGTTCTGATAATTCCTTTCTCTTTTTTTTGTGTTCTTTTTTTTTTTTCCCCTTAGCAAGAAGATGACAAAGTGTTGAAGCTAGTCCAGAAGAAATTCTGTGCCAGTGGACCATATACTGGTAAGATGAGTGCTAAGAGCAGGAGTGGAGTGTTCACTGCTCCTTGTGCAATGACAGCAGTTTGAGAGATGAAGCAGCTGCCCTGCAGAGCAGACAGTTCAGGTGTTAAAAGTAGAAAGTCTGAGGCTGAGTGCTTTCACCCACGGGCTTTCCACGTCCCCCTGGCTTTCCTCTGCAGTCCAGTTTTCATTCTGAGGTGCTTCTCTTCTGATGTCCAGTCTGAGGAGCTCTGTAAGCTGCTGGTTTTATAGTGGTACTGATATAAAAATGCCTCATATGGATGCCAGCTCGCTCTGAAGACACACATTCCACCCATCTTCCATGCTTATAGGAATTAAAACATTTGGCTTGAAAGGTAGTTTAGAGATTCTTGGGTTTTAACTCTACAACTCCCATTTCCCTTCAGAATTGTGCCTTTTTAGATTTAGCTGTAAGCAGCTTTGCTTAAACTGCTGCTGAAACTTCTCTGAACCTCAAGCAGAGTTGTGTGCATATTCCTTTTTCCCTTCTTTTATATTGTTTCTTCTTTCAGGGGAGGATTTCCCCATGTGGATGGTGCCCATAAGTATTTGTACAAGTGATGACCCCACCAGTGCCAAAATGCAAATATTGATGGACAAACCAGAGCTCACCTTGGTTCTGAAAGACACCAAACCTGACCAGTGGGTGAAGGTGAGTTGTCCCACATATCACTGGGAGTAAGATTGCCACTGGAATGTTCCCTTACACTTCATTTTCCTGTTCTCTTTTGGGTTTTTTTTTGTGTTTCTCATGGAGGGGCCTCTCTGTGCTGCTGTTGAATATTGGCTCCTCTCTACAACGCTTGCTGAGTGAAGCCCTTTGCTTTCCAAGAGTCCTCTAGACAATATAAACTTCAACCTTTTAGGAGTCTCAGCCCGGAAAACCAGCGTGCAGCTTTTGAGTGGAAATGTGGTGGCTTTTTGGGTATCCCCTGACAACCACTGTTTAGTTGAAGTCCATCCTGAGGGGAAAAAAAAAAAGGTCCTGTTTGCCTTTCATTAGTGGGAAGGTTTTTTACTGGCTCTTGCCAGACAAGGACAAATCTGTAAGTGAAAAAATTCCCTGTTGAGATCTGCTGCAGACACCAGGCAAACTGAATTTAGAAATGGATAGACAGTTGGAAAAACTGACTGGGACTGCTGCTGTATGAGCTGCTGAGGTTGGAGAGCAGTTGTTCCTAAGGTGAAGCTCTGCTCTGAGAGGTGGCTCTGTGAAATGACAGTGAGGGTTAGTCTCTGAATGTTAATCAGATCTTCCCATGTAACCAACGTGGGCATTCTGTCACATCTGTATGTTCTCCTGAGTCAACATATCTGTCTGGGCCCTCTGGTAATAAAGAGGGGCATGAAATGAACAGTTCTGAAAGTGCCCTGCCTAAATCAGGGTAAAATTTGGTGTTTCTGCTTGGGAAGGCAACAGTCCAGCTCAGTCCAAGGTGAATTTGTAGAACTCTTCACTGCTGGTCTGTGAGGTTTTGAGTTAGTGCCATAGTTGGACTGGCCAAAATCACAGCAGCAGCAGCAAAGGGGCCAGCTCCCTGCAGTGGTTTTGGTTTGTGCCAGGTCCTGTGGTTTAACCAGCCACAACATTTGACCATCTACACTAAATCCTAGCAGGCAGTAGTGTGCAGCTAGGGCAGCTCATGCTTCCAGCCCAGGACTTGCTGGGCAGAGGAGCTTGATCTCCTTCCTTGAGCCAGTGGAGCAGGTTGTGGGAGAGAGGTTACAAAAGTTATAATTCCAGTACCTGCAGCCTCCTGCATTTTATCTTCCTGGTGCATGACTGCCCTTAGTTCAGTTCCTATTTACCCCTAGTGAGAAGTTTTTCTCTTCTCCTTGCTCCTAGTTTTAAGTGTAGCCTCTGTTTACTTATCACAGCTCTTTCTTGTCCTCTCTACTCCTCAGTGACCATTTCTTTTGTGAAATCTCTAGTCCTGTCCCATTATTTACTATTTATTTGTTTCTTTTTATTTAAATGATAGTGACTTTCTCTGAGCAGCAATGCTTGGAGAATTTTCTAATAAAAAATGTCCTTATTTCTTCCTCATTTTTAATTTTTGACTTTTTTTTTTTGGATGCTTTCCAGTTAAACCTTGGAACAGTCGGGTTCTACCGTACTCAGTACAGCCCTGACATGCTGGAGAGTTTAATACCAGCCATCAAAGACCTCTCCCTACCCCCTGTGGACAGGCTTGGCCTGCAGAATGATCTTTTCTCTCTGGTAAGCAACCCTTTGCTCTTCTGTCAGATAATGAGAGAAAACTGCAGAAACAAGTGTCTGAAGAGTCCCTCTCAGCTTTGGGAGGCCAAGTGCCTTTGGGATGACTGCATACAGCTAGCTGCTAATTAGCTGGACAAGTTCTGACTTGTGTTATAAGACTTAAACCCTATGGAAGCAGTCCATCTATAGCTCCTGTTGCACTGTTCTCTGCAGGGGGTGTTAGACTACAGGGGTTTTTACAGGGTTGTTTTGAGAGCTTGCTTGCTTTTAACTTGTAGAAATAAGGATCCCTCCCTCAATGACTTTATCAGATACTGTCAGCATTAAGTGCTGGGCTTGCTAGATCTGTCCTCCACTGGAGATGGTGGCTTTTGGGGACCCTACTGTTTAAAAGCAAGGGATTACCCCCAAATGCTACCTCTGAACTGTTAGTTACTGCACTATTTCAGACTGAGCTTTCTTATTGCTCATCAGCAGGTGTAGAGAAACAGTAAAAAATGTCATTTTGAGACCTTACCTATCTAGCTTCAAAGCTTGTAACTTTTGTCCTGGTGTAGTTAAGTTGTAGCCAGAGGCACTTTCCAAATATTGGAAGATCAATGGGACACAAACTGAGCAGATAACACACAGAGGAACGTGGTGTTAGGCTCCTGTTTTGGTTTCAGCTTTAATTGTGTTTTTTTCATAGGTGAATATAACTTAGATAATAAAAAGTGATTTTCACCTCATTTTCCAGTCCCATAAATTACTGGTCTGGTTCCAGATCAACCAGACTGCTCAGGGTGTTGTTACAGATACCTGCTGTTGGTCTTAGTGACTGTGCTGAGCACAGAATGCTGTGAGCATAATTAATATAATTATAGTTAATATTTTCCTGGCAGAGGTGAAAACTCAGGGCTTGTACCAGTTCACAGGAAGCAAAAATGGCTTCTGTGGTTTTACACTCTCAATTTCAGGAACAGCAAAAAATAAATCTCTAAATCTTCACAGTTTTTAGTTACAGTAGGATTTTGGTGGGTGTAGTACCTGGCTGTGAGTAACTTTGAGGGTTTGCTTTTTCTTGCCAGTGTTGCTGCAATTTTAAGTGACTTAATCTCCTTCTCTGTTTCTTGTTTGCAAAATGTGCTTGTAATTATAGAGCTGTCTGCTTGTAAAGTGCTTACCTGTGTGTAAAAAAAAGCCTCTTGTGCCACGAGCAGACAGCTGAGGTGCTTCCCCTGGTGCTAACTCACCTTGGCAGAACCCCACAACAGAGAAAAGAGATTTTATATGCAGGCTGTGCAAACAGGGAAGGCTGTAAAATGCTGTGATGAGCTATTCAAGGTCTTAATGCTCTTTGGAAGTAAGATTAATCTGTGTCTTTTCCTCTCCCAGGCCCGAGCTGGAATCATTAGCACTGTAGAGGTTCTAAAAGTCATGGAAGCTTTTGTGAATGAGCCCAATTACACTGTGTGGAGCGACCTCAGCTGTAACCTGGGGATTCTCTCAACTCTCTTGTCCCACACAGACTTCTATGAGGAAATCCAGGTGTTCGTGAAAGATGTCTTTTCACCAATAGGGGAGAGACTGGGCTGGGACCCCAAACCTGGAGAGGGTAGGAAACTTATGCTGTGAAATCCAGTAGTGGTTTTGCAAAATTCCTGTGTAAATAAGCCAGCAAGATTTTGGGAGAGGGGAAAGGAAAGGGAGGAAGAGGAGCCTGAAGCAGGCGTGCGGGGGTATTTTTATACTCAAAACCAGGCAGATAAACATAAAACCCCAAAACTGTGATCAGGCACAAGTTAAAAAGGTAAAAACTTTTCCCTAGCTGCTCGTTGACTGATAAAAATTCTCTGCTTTAGCTTTGCATCTCTTGGAGTGTGTGAAACTTTAGACTGCTAGGATGGAAAGCCACGTACGTGCACGCTTCCTTGTCCCAGTCAGTCCTGTTGTAGGTGCAAGTGGTTAATATTCCTGACTTAGCTCAGGTTACAGGCCTAGCCTGTTGTGTTCTGGGCCAGAATTATCTTCTCCTGAGCTTCTTGCTGTAAAAAAAAACCCCAATGTATTCTCCAGCTGGAGCCAAGGAGAGTGAGATATTCTTCAGGTATCCTCAAGCATGGAGAAGAACTGTTACCCAGTTCTGCCCTGATCACTCTAGGTGGAAGAACACTTAATTGCTGAATCATGTCTCTAAATGTTTTTTTTTTCCCCCCTTTGCTCACTCATTAGGTCACCTAGATGCCCTTCTGAGAGGTCTGGTCTTGGGCAAACTAGGAAAAGCTGGGCACAAAGCAACACTGGAAGAAGCCCGACGCCGATTTAAGGACCACGTGGAAGGAAAGCATATCCTGTCAGCTGACCTGAGGAGTCCTGTAGGTTACTGGGCATTTGAGTTCCCAAAAGACTCTTCCCCACTCACCTCACACTGCCTGCACTTGAACCCTTGTATTTCCAAGAATAGGGAAGCTGAAGGAGGCCAGTGTGAAGGATTGGGGACCAGCTGGTTTTGGCAGAGGTGGTGGGAGCTTGGATAAGTCCAGTTATGAGGAAAACAATACTGGGGAGCATGGTACAAACATCCTTGGGTTCCTCAAATCAAGTCAGGCTCATCTACTGTGGGCAGTGCTTAGTGAGAACTAAAAAAGCTCCTCTGTCCCCACACTGACTGCCACAGGAGGACTCTGGATTGTGTTGCTTCTGGGGTTAAGTCTGACACTGGTGGATCTGGATTGAGTGTTTTTGTGAGGTACTGACTAGGCAGGTGCTGTGTGGTGCAAGGATTTCTTGTTCTGGGGTTTTGCTGTGCTTGGAATCACCAAAACTACACCAAAATCGAGGAGGAGGTAATGGAGTTGATGCATCTTTAAAATCCAGTCTTAAAACACAGAAAAGATCAGTGCCAGGATCTCCACAATCTGTTTGCTCATCTGAAGTCTAACCCAAGTACACAGAAATGGATCCCTGTGCTTGTGAGAGTGTTCTGATGTTTGTGCTCTCTCTCAGGTATATGTCACTATCCTGAAGCATGGAGACAGTACTACTTTAGACACTATGCTGAAGGTGAGTGCACACTCTGCTGTTAACTCTGCCAGCCTGTGCCACGAGAAGCTGAATATTCCATCCTGCAGCTTCCTCTGAGATGTAATTTATCTGCACACAGGCTCAGGCTGGTGTTTTACAGCCCATGTGAACGCTGGGGCTTCCTTCTGGTGCTCCTCAGTCTGTGTGCAGTGTGAAATTGCCACCTAGTGGCTTCTTGCATCTCATTTTGGGATTCCTTTTCATTGCTGGGAGGCACGGTCCTCCTTGACCTTATATAAACAGTGGTGAAGATCAGCTTATTACTAATGGTGCTTTCCTCTGATGGACATATAATGAGTTCTGTGATGTGGATAGCTGCAGGATGATTCACCACCAAGTTCAATTTGTCACCTATTAGGCTGGAGTAGTGGCTTCTTGCATCTCATTTTGGGATTCCTTTTCATTGCTGGGAGGCACGGTCCTCCTTGACCTTATATAAACAGTGGTGAAGATCAGCTTATTACTAATGGTGCTTTCCTCTGATGGACATATAATGAGTTCTGTGATGTGGATAGCTGCAGGATGATTCACCACCAAGTTCAATTTGTCACCTATTAGGCTGGAGGAATCCTGGAGCAGCTCTAGCCCATGGAGTTTGCAGGGCTGGGTGAGAACTTGGCCTTTAATCCAACACACTAATGTTAATCCCTTTGGCTTTGAAGCTCCACAAGCAAGCAGACATGCAGGAGGAGAAGAACAGAATCGAACGAGTTCTTGGTGCCATCTCTCAACCAGAGCTGATTCAAAAAGTTCTCACCTTTGCACTTTCAGTAAGTGGTTGGAAAAAGCTGCTGCTTCCTTCATGTCTCACTCTCAGGGAGCTCGTTCAGAACTCTGTGCAGATATGATGGGCTAGAATAGAAGGAATAGTCTTAATTAAATCTTTGAGTTGTATCTTTAAGTTTGGGGGTGGGGGGAAGCTCTTGTGGATGGATTTGGTGTGGAAGGGCATAAAGCCAACACGTATTTGGTGACAGCATTTTGAATACCTGTCTCCTTTCCCCTGCAGGAAGAGGTACGTCCCCAGGACACGGTATCTGTTATTGGTGGAGTAGCTGGAGGCAGCAAGCAGGGGAGGAAAGCTGCTTGGAAATTCGTAAGGGACAACTGGGAGGAACTTTATAATCGATACCAAGGTGGATTCTTAATATCCAGACTAATAAAGGTGTGTGAGAAAAGCCCTGTGCACATGCCTGGCCAAAACTCAGCTGGTGTATTTGAAATGCCAAAGGTTTACCCTTGGTGAATATGGTTTTTCTTTTTATTTTTCCTTCAGCTAACAGTGGATGGATTTGCAAATGATAAAATGGCTGCAGAAGTGAAGGTAAGAAATTTTAATTAACCATTATCTGATGAACAGCCACGAGGTTCTACACTGTTCTTGGTTTTGAGCTGTGGCTCTGGCTCTTTTCACTCCTGCCTAGTCCCTGAATTTAGGTTTAGGCTGAGTTATTTTATTGAAATGTCTTAAATGACCATTTTCACCAAGGAATGGGCAACTTCTAGTGATCTGTTTTATTAGTTTCACTCATTTAAACTTTTCTAAAATCCAGCACAGCTTGAGGCAGTGGTTTTGAGACAAAAGACAACCTTTAAAGAGAATTGTAGCAAAATCTGTAGTTGTAATCTGTAGTAAGCTGAGGGTTCCAGCAGCACTTGGTTCCTGGCAGAGTTCTGAGAACCTGTGTAGGTTTTATTATTTACTCTTTGCCTGCACTTTTAAAGAGACTCCTTCAGGGAGGAAGAAACTTAAAAATACAGCCCTTAATTATCACTTTCCTGTTAGGAAAATGCTCAGGAGGAATTCTTGTTTCAAAGATAAGCTGAGGCACCAGCTCTAGCCTTTATTATCATCTAGTGATGTCTTCTTAGAAAAGATTTAGTAGCATAAGTGATTTTACAGAGAAATCTTGCACTGTAGTTAATTTTTTTTTCATGAAAAACACTTCACAAAGCATTTACCCAAACAAATCATCCCTGAGTCATAACTCCCTTCCAAGAGAACTTCCTCAGGCAGGTCACCCAGCTCTTAGCTGGAGTCCTGAATGTGTCTGAGCCTTGATGGCACCGTGCAGTGCCCTCACACTAAATCCTGGGGGCTGGGGTGACCCCCAGCCTGCCCCTTGAGCCAACTGCCCCGGGCAGAGTCACAGCAGAGAAACTCCAGGGCAGTTTCTTCTTCAGGAGATGGATAGTGTTGATTCTGGGGAAAAAAAAAATGTGAGACTTCAGCAAAACTGGAGTGCTGCTGGTGCTTGGAGGTTGTTTTGCAGCTTGGAAAGAGGCCTGGGTGGAACACTAAGAAATCTGATACCTAGACAAATGCTTTTGCAAAATGGCCTTCAGCCCCTGTTAGTGTCTTCTCCTGAGAATCCAGAAATACACACTTGGTTTGCTGCTTGTTTGCTGCCTCCCAGTGAGGGACTGAATTCATCTCAAGTGCCACTTGCTGTCCCTGGCAGCAAGGCCAGGCCAGGAGGCAGCATTTGGGTGAGTTGATAGAAATTGTGGCTTTCCTTTAGCAGAGAAGTGGAGGCCTTTTGCTGTTCCTGCTCTGCACTTGGGATTACATGACTTGCAGACTTGGCTAGCACCCTGGATGTTTTTCAGAGTCTGTGATGTGTGCCCAGGTGGCCAAGAATGCCACCAGCATTACAATCACAGAATCAACTTTGCTTGGAAAAGACCTTTAAGATGACAGAGTCCAACCATAAACCCTGCTCTACCATACTCTACCAAATCCTCCTCTGAGCCCTGTCCCCAGGCACCACATCTGCATGGCTTTTAAACACATCCAGAGGTGGTGACTCAACCACCTCCCTGGGCAGCATGTTCCAGCCTGGCTTGGATCAGCACTGGTGTGGCCAGAAGAACCAGGGCAGGGATTGGCCCCCTGGGCTGGGCACTGGGGAGGCTGCACCTCAAATTCTGGGGTTGGTTTTGGGCCCCTCCCTCCAAGGACCTTGAGGGGCTGGAGCGTGGCCAGAGAAGGGCAACAGAGCTGCTGGGGAAGGGTCTAGAGCCCAAGTGTGGGGAGGAGCAGCTGAGGGAGCTGGGGGTGCTGAGCCTGGAGCAAAGGAGGCTCAGGGGAGACCTTCTGGCTCTGCACAGCTCCTGACAGGAGCCTGGAGCCAGGGGGGGGTCGGGCTCTGCTCCCAAGGGACAAGGGACAGGACAAGAGGAAAGGGCCTCAAGTTGCCCCAGGGGAGGTTGAGGTTGGCCCATCTGGTTTGATTTAGGAAAAACTTCTTCCCGTTGAGGGTTGCCCAGGGCAGTGGTGGAGTCCCCACCCCTGGAGGAGTTCCCAAGCTGTGGAGATGTGGGGTGAGGGACACGGGGCAGTGGGGACCTGGCAGGGCTGGGGGGACACTTGGACTCAATGACCTTAAAGGTCTCTTCCAGCCAAAATGATTCTGTGATTTGGTGTGCTGGGAGCAGGCAGCATCAACTGTAGTTGGGAGATAATTCCCCAAAACATTTGATCCAAGGGCTGGAGCAGCTCTGCTGTGAGGACAGGCTGAGGGAGTTGGGGCTGTTCAGTCTGGAGAAGAGAAGGCTCTGAGGTGACCTTATTGTG